AGTGCTTTCCAATCATTAGGAGGCAACTGCTCAGTAGGCAGGGAATCTAACACAGCTCGAGTAAAGGAAGCTGTAGGGCCGTGCTGCAGACAAGCAGATTTAAAAGTTTTCAAGGCTTTGAGTTGAAACAGAGTATCTCCAGTACTCTGACTGTTATGGGGCTCCACGAGTGCCATGAAGCCTGATACATCCTCACCTGCAGCAGTGGCCTGCCGCACAATCTTTTGTAATGGAGACATGGCAGGTGCAGTAGAAGACATTCAGACCTGCGTATGAATTGGTGTAGGCCAGAACTGGGTGTTCTTTTCAGGTTGTATTTGTATTATAGAGGATGACAACTGAGCCTGTGATTGCAGAGCCATAGCCTCAGCAGAGGATTCAGAGGACTCCTTAGGGTGGTCTCGCACATCATCACACAACTCTCGGACCTTCTCTGTCGTAGAACCTGTAGAAGACTGAGCAGGACGAGTCACAATATCATGCTCGGCCATTGTACAGTAATCTCGAATGAGAATCCAGAGCTTGAGAGTCTCCTCCGGAATCTGCGATTGCTCCTGCTTAATATAATACATCTGTAACTTGGCACCCACTTTATACCATACATCTAATGTCAAGGGACCCTGTCCAGGAAACCAAGGGCACACTTCCTCAAGCAATTCCACAAATGCAGTCATGCCTTGTGAACTGCATATCACACCTTGTTCCTGAAGTATATGCTTAAGCCGACCCATAGTCCTGGGGAAGGAAAAAACTGTTACTGAAATAGGAGAAAAATCCTTTAAAGTTAATAGGAATTATAATTTGTTAGCAAGGGTGGAAGGCAGAGGTCGAGGTGTGTTCTTGTGCGTTTTCCAAAGTTTGTGGAGGAAGGGTCCTGTGGAGCAAAAGAGGTACGTATACACTGAGTAGGTTTTCAAGGCAACAACAAACAAAAGATGGATATTCCTCTGTTCCTAAGCGCTCTAGAAACAGGTAGTCAAGGATGACAGAAACATACACAATAGGTTGTTACGGGAACAAACGACAAGGTGGGATTGAGTACATGGAAACACAAATAATCGCAACATCAAACCTAGGTCCTAAAGTACATACTTTAACTGTTTCTTATACCTAAAAAAAAGACAACAACGTAGCAGCTGGCTGCTTATTATACAATCTGTTGTAATGGGAGCATTAGGGACAAATGACAAGGTGTAAAGGGATTGTTATTCCTCAGAAAACAATCATAGCAGTCAGTAGCAGAAATGCAGGACAGCACAGCCACATCATACTGGGCCACAGCTTCAAGTGACTACGTCCCACCTCATGCATAGGAGCACCGACAACCATGACCGCAGACCAGGCATAATGAGACAGGAAAGGGAAAGTAACAGAAATGTACTAGCACCAGCAAGCCCAGCAACAGAGTTGCTGGAAAAGGTTCATGTAATTGTAAAACACTTTGTCAGGTGCTGTTGATTTTTCATCATAACAATCTTGCAAATTGTTAAATAACCTTAAAAAAATTCAGCCCATGACCAGAACTTGACACATCCTTTGTTTCAGAAAGTTTGTACTTGAAACATCTTGTAATATTGTTCTAAAAGGAAGAGTTAGTGAAAAGGCAAAATTAAGACTTTTAATCATTTGAAACTCATTAGCAAAGGTGGAGGTATCTTTGTGTTTGTCCTCCATGGTCAGGAGACATACAGTCCTGTTAAGCAGAGAGGTATGCATTCATTAATGCAACACTTGACTGAACAAGAGAGAGATAGGACTCTCCCCTGATTCAGAAAACCGTTGAGTCCATGGCACAATAGCCGCAAGACAGGGCACAGCTGCATCACGCTGGGCTGCAGCTTCAAGTAACCGAGCCCCGATCCCAAAGACCATGCGCCACGAGACCCTAAACAGTGTTACCCAGATATCCAAATCTTGTCAATAGAATGCAACAGGACAGGATAAAAACTAGCAGTATAAAGGTTAAACTCCTGATTCGGAAATCTTTAAAAAACTAGAACCAGAGAAGTATGAATCACTACGGTGGTCCCATCAGCAACACAGGAAATACATCCATTAGAAGGCCCATCTGTGAATATCAATAAGGCATGTGGCAAGGGAACTGAGCATGTAACTTTAAGAAATATAAGATCAGTGGTTTGGCAAAACTGCAAAAGCCTATGCTTAAGATAATGAATCCACCTGGGACTTTCTAAAAGGAACTATGAGTTTAGCAGATTCTTGCCCAAAATACTTTGTAGATTCAGACCTGAGGAGCTGAATCAAAGTTGATATGGCGTTAAAGTATGGACGTAAGACTTTAGCAGGGAAGACAGGCAAGTGTATCCTTAATAATGGAGCATAACTGTTGCTTAGCAATAGTGGATTCAACCTTCTTGGTACTGTGTAGTAGGAACGTCCTACAAAGCCATGACAAGAACCCGTATGTCAACTGACAGCCGCCAACCTGGCAGCCTGGCAGCCCACCCCCAAACTACCCAGCGGCACACAACTGCATCATGCTGGGCCACAGCTTCAAGCAGCCATGTATGATCCAAGGAAGGCCCAGGGGAGATGCGGCCGACCAGGACAACCAAGGGCAACAGAGTAGCACACCAGGTTGTCAAGGCAACATAAAACACAACCATGGAACAATAGGGTGCAATAACCATGGCAACACACAGAAACATAGCCGTCAAAATGAAACAAACAAGGCACAAATAATTTATAACTGATATCAGTAGCCTAATTTTGTAATTTTTACAGTGCGTACAATATTGTTATAGACGTCTTTTTGCAACATCATGGAACTTGAAACAGAGTACAATAGATTCAAGAGCTCATCACGAGTGATTCCTGCCACAAATCACCTGCTCATTATGAACCTCCCCAGTGGCACGCAAACGCATCATGCTGGGCCGCAGCTTCAAGTGGTTACGTGCCATTTAAGGAAGGCCTTGTAGCTCCTGCCATGAACTACTTGTAGAGCTCCAAGACTCATCAAAAGCAGCCTCTGCCACAAGCCACCCGCTTAGTACAAGCAAATTGTGCCACAAATCACTTGCTCAGAGTGCTCAGGATGCCACTTCACATACCTGAGCCACCGACCTGTGCTGTCGGAAAAGAACACAGAAGACAAGTTCCAAAACTGCCATTTTTTACACATCATTCACACAGAGCCGTGCCAAGCTCACACAGAGGGAAATTTATTAAATGGTACCATTAAACTAATTTAAAACACAACATGTTGGGAATGGCACCCAACACAGATCTGCAAAAGGCACAGTGTCGACATCGTATGGGCACGCCAATTTTACGTTCCAAAGCACACAAGCTGCGAACGGCCCTGGTGAGTGTCCTGAACAGCCCTCAAACTGTTCCCCATTAGATTAATCACAGCGGGATTGTATTCCTATGCCTGTTTCCACAGGTTTCTCGTATGATTAATCTGGGTTAGGTCACCCTTTTAGGGACCCAAGGAGACTGACCCCTGAGGTGGGAGCCTTTTTTAGCCAAAGAAAATCTTTCATGTCAAGGCACTAAAACATGCAAGCTGCTCTCAGTTCCTTTCACAGAGTTAGAGGGTCAGTCTGAACCTGGAAAATTCTTGAGAACAGAAGACTGTGAGAACTAGCATGAGTCTGAACAGAAAGGAGCAGTTTCTGCCCTGGGTCAGCTTCTCACATTTTCAGCCTATACTACATTAGTTTAAAACAGCAAGCAGGAGATGGCGGGTTTTCCTATGCCAGAATTTAAAGTTAGCCGTCTGAGTCTGCTTTCTCACGGCATTCTGAACACCAGGAACCAGGTAAGGAGGAGGAAATCTTGAAGAAAAAACTCTGCAAACTTGCTCTAAGACTTTATGCTTCACCTCCTCAGGAATTTCATAAAGATTAATCGTCCTTCTAGCTGTATGAAAAGGCTGGCTTGGAAGCAATTTCCTTGGACTGCATTTAGCACATGCTCTAACAAATGTCCAAGCAGCCCAGAAGTCAAGTGAAACTGCTTCTCCTGTCTGAGACGCCGCTTTTACTTTTTCCCTGACTCTGTCCCCTATTGTAAAAGCTAAAAATCTCATATTGAGCACCCCTAAATCACACCCTGAAATGTGCACCCTATTACTATAATAAATATACTGCAGGGAAGAAGGGAAAAAGACATACTTACGTAACAAAAGCATACTTACCCAAAAAACAATTTTTTCTCAAAAAATCTGTTCAGACAGCCTGGTGCTGGGGGTCCTCAGCCCCCACATTGGGTGCCACTTGTCGAACGCCCCCCAAGCCCACCAGGCTTGGGTCTTCATCAAAAAGGACACTCAGGCATACGTCTGAAGTTATGCAAGGAATTTATTAAAGGGACAGCAGGTACAGAGAGGAGAGCGCTCTTTAGAAGGAAGAATCTACTGAGGGGTCCCACAGGTCCCTTTTATCTGGCCTGGAGTTTGGGTTACCCAGGTGAATCTTCCCAACAGAAACAAAAGGGTTACTATAGACAAAAGGGTTACTATAGAGACAGCATGAAGGCCGAACTGAAACTACCTTTCTAGAAGACCTGATTTATCACCCAGGTACAGCCTGTCAGCTTTGACCGCTGAAGCAGAGAGCTCAGAAGCTCTTAAAGTGGCACTCTCCTAATTTCCAATGCTTATGGTAAATATGGCTCCCGACATGCAAAATATTTTCTTCTTGTGGTTTGATAAAAACTCATTTTTTCATTTGTAAAAATGGCATGTGGAGTCCCAGAGGCTATGGGGCCATGGCTGGGTTGAATCTGCGTCTAGAGGGTCACAGAACAGAACTGTGATAAGATTCTTCAATAAAGACACATTCTTGGTGAAATCTCCCCCCCCCAAACCAAAAAAAAACATAGCATGTGTTCCTAATTAAAATCAAAATATTAAGCCACTAGTATTCTCCCATAGTCCAAGCTGACCTGGAACTCCACTTGTAGCCCAGGCTGGCCTTGAGAGAGCTTTGATACACAAGGTCATAGTTTTTCTGTCTCTTTTTTTTCATCAGGTACTGTGCCTTGAGATGCGCCAGAATTTTTCAGGTGCTCTGGAGACTGTGAGCCAGATAATTGTGAACTTTCCAAGCTTTCTTCCTGCGTTTGAGAAGAAAATGAATTTACAGCTGGCCTTGCAGGATTGGGACCAGACAGTTGAGACAGCACAAAGGTTAAATGAAAAAAAAATTACATCACAAGTTTTATTGGAGCTGATTATATATGAGAAAACCACCAAATCTGTTTTCTTTTATGTGTCATAGGATTTTCATATTCTTCATAATTAGCATTGAATTGAATTGAATTTTTTCAAACCATATAGATTTTTTTTCCAAACAAAAAAATTTTTTTTAATTGTATTGCTTTTAAAAACTGAACTTGGGGGCTAGAGAGATGGCTCAGTGGTTAAGAACATTGGTTGTTCTTGCAGAAGACCCAGGTTTGAATCTCAGCATCCACATGGCAGCTAACAACTGTCCATAACTCCAGTTCTAGGGGATCCGATGGCCTCTTCTGACCTCCCTGGGCATTTCACGACACAGGTGCATTTACCTACATGCAGGCAATACACGTGTACACATAAAATAAAAATAAAATTTTTTTAAAAAGGAATTTGGAGCTGGGGAGATGACTCAGCAGGTAAAGCACGTGTGAGGAGTTCAAATCCCCAAAACCCATGTAAAAGCTATGTGGGTGTGGAGCCTGCCTGTAATCCCAGTGTGAGACCTGCCTCAATATGCAAGATGGAGAGAGGTCAAGGAAGACACAGGGCATCTACTTGGGGGTCTCTGCATGTAAATGCACATATGTACATGCCCATACAAATGTGAACACACATATACAGACACACCATGCACACATATGCCCAGTAACCTTAATTTATTGATTTGCATCAATATCTGACTACCTACTCTTAAAATAGACATCCCTTTAGTATCTCTGCCCTTAGTAAGCCAGAGGAAGCATGTGAGGCAGCACAGTGAAATTACACAGGAAGTTAAACATGAGTGCTAGGGAGAAAGGATAAAGTGACATGGTGTGCGGGGGTGGGGACTGGAGAGTTATGAGGTAGTTGTGGAAGGCCATACTGAAAAGATGCTGTTTGAGCAAAGACCTGGAGAAGGCCAGGGCAGCAAGCCATGGAGACACCTGAGTGAAGGTTTTTCACAAATGAGGAACAGTCCAGGGAGGCTGGGGGTGAAGCCCCTGTCTGTTTGAGGAACAGGAAGGAGTAAGAGCAAGAGAGGATGTAGGCTGTGAGGACATAGTGGGGAGGGAGGTGGTGCTGGGTCACAGAGGATCTTGGGGACCTGTGGAAGGAGTTGGAGGTTTTTTCTGCAAGGTGAAGTCCTGGGAGTTTTGAAAAGAGTCGTATTAGGGTCTGAATTACCATTATAGAATCGGGGCTGTGTTGAGAGCTGGGGTGGGGTTGAGGGTAGGGGAAGCAAGGATGCCATTTTTTTTATGCTGTTGCCATAATTGAAAGAGAAGTGGTGGTAACAGAAGCCAGGGCAGTTACCCTTCAGTTGCTTTGAGAAATGTCTGGAACCTAGGAAGGCAAGAGCCTAGGTGAAGATGACCACTGTGTCTGGGCCTGAGCACCTAGAGTGACAACAGTGGTTTGGATGACCAGTTGTAAAATGCCCAGAGCGCCTATACATGGGAAAGTGACTTATACTCAGAAGTAGGTACTATTAGCATTTTTCACTTTGCAACCGAATAAATTAAGATTCATACCTTTTAGGTATTTTATCCCACACCAAATATATAGATTATTTGATGTAAACTTTGTAGCCCAAACTGAACAATATCTTCTCAGACAGCAATTGGTATAAAACTACCCAAAATCTCAAGGCATATGGCAACAGGCATTCATTACTCACTTTAATGTCAGTCATCTATGGTCTGCTGATCAGTCAGGTTTTTCTGGGTTTCTGCTTCAAGTTTCAGACCCTAGTGCCTGGACGTGGACCCTTATGGCAGTTGTGGTCTCCCAAGGGTGTTTTTTATGCACAAGCTGACAAGCAGCAGCTGCACAGAAGAAACTCTCCCCTTGGTGATAGCAAAGACACAAGAGAATGAGCAGAGATACCCACTATTTCTGAAAGGTAGACTGGGCATGCTCTCCACCCTGCCACTAGTCCATTGACCAAAGCAAGGAAAATAGCCCAGTCCCATCTGAGACAGCTAGTACCCTCTAGCTTCTGTAAGAGGAACTGATCAGCTATATGGCAGAAGGCAGACTTCAGGAAGGGAGAAAATGTGATCCAGAAATTTATTGTATCACATCATTCATGAGATAACACCTATGAGGTTTTTTTTTAATATTTTATTTATTGTTTCTTTGTGTATGAGTGTATTTCCTACATGAATGTGAGTGCACCCATGTTATGCAGTGCCATGGAGGTCAGAAGAGGACTTTGGATTCCCCTAGAACTGGAGTTAGGATGGTTCGTAGCTGCCATGTGGGCCTGGGACTCGAACCCGGGTCCTCTGCAAGAGCAGACAGTGCTTTTAACCGCTAAGCCATCTCTCCAACCCTGAGATAACACCTATGCATTTTATAAGAATTCTAACAGCATAGACTATTTCTTCCTACATTTATACTTTTAATTTTTCTAATATTAATATATGTTTTTATAATATTTCCTAATTTGTATTTTACCATAAGGAATCTAATGTTAATAATATTAGTATATTTTAAAATACTAGACTCATTTTGGCATTTCTAGAATCCCTTTAATAAAAAGTCAACCTGCTCCAGGTGAATTCAACTTTTAATATACAGTTGTATGTAGTTAATTCTTCAGGTAGGCTTATCACAGGATTAAATAGGTCTGGCACAATCTCTGTATACATTTTAAGACATTAAAAATTCCAGATACCTTTTTAACTCTAAATAATGCAGAGGTCTGTGTTGTAGTTTTACTAATCAAAACTATATGAGTAGTGAAATAGACCAGCAAACTTTGAATTTTTCAACTTTCTTCAATAAAACGTTCAAGTTTATTTCAGCATTAACTGAAATGTTCTCCTGAAGGTTGCTGGTTCAAGACAGTAACAATGTGGAAGCGCTGAGAATGCTGGCCCTATACTACCTGTGCAGGGAGGGGGACATAGAGCAGGTAAGTTGTTCTCTGTGGGTTAAGTTTCCTGGGGCAAGATCTATTTCATCGCACAACAATATGCGTGCTTGTGTTCATATCCATTAGCGCCTTGAAGTTCGTTCTTAGACTGCATATCATGGTTTTTATTGCATCCCAGAAACATTGTTATGAAGATGATAGCTTTTATATCAACAAGTAAAGCAAAACTTTTATATAATGAAGATTTTCTCATATTTTTTAAATTGTTAAGAATATATATATTTTTATGTAAGATTCTGGTTCCAGCACATTATTTAACTAGTGTAATCTGTGATGCTGGATACGAAAGTAAATATGCAAATTGAAATTCATAGTGCTTTTGCAACCTAATTCGGTTTCTAGGAATTCAGTGAGCTTGGGATGAGATGTTTCTAGTAAGGTATATCTTTTTCTATAGTAGTGCATGCACTGACTGGACACTAGATGATAGAGGGCCAAAATCCGTTCATTCTGCAGCCAGTAGTATCATGAGAAGTCTGTATATTTAACTTGATTAATGTGACAGTACCTAGCACATACTTTGATAGACACTTAGAAGAACCTTAGTAGAGCAGATCATCAGTAAAATTTTCATATATTACTTGGACCTGGGAATATAACTCAGTAGTAGAAAGTTTGCCAAGTATATACAAAACCCTGGGTTTGACTTTTCATCACCAACGAACAACAACAACAAAAGACTAATCCCCTAACTCCTTTTGTGATTTTTCTATTTTAGGAAGCATTTCAAATATAAGCCAGCCTATCTATGTGTAGTTCTAAAGCTAGTCTCATATAATATTGTTTGTAAAGGTATTATTCATATGGCCATATAGCCTTCCTTGAATCTATTGTTAGAGAAAAAGGAGACCCATAAGAGTGCCTAGTAGTGCCAGAACTGTTCTCTATAGTAGAGTTTACAGTTACTGAATAATGTGGATATGTTTACCCATCCAGAAGATTTTGTTCAATGACAAATACTGATAAAACACCCCAGAAATCAAGAATTCTTTATGTGTAATTATCAGTGTTTTAAGATAATTTTAAAACATTTTATAACACATAAGATTCCATTGGCAGGGTGAGAGATGGCTCAGTAAATAAAGTGCTTCCTACATGAGCAATAGGATCTGAGTTTGGATTCCCAGCACCCATAAAATTCCAGGTGTGATGGCCCGTATTTGAAATCCTAGCACTGGGAAGGTGGAGATGGGAGGCCCTCTAGAGCCACCTACCCTCTGGTCCTGTGGGAGTGGTGGACTCCAAAGTCAGTAAGAGACCCTGTCTTAAAAATAAGGTACACAAGGGGCTGGAGAGAGATGGCTCAGCAGTTAAGAACACTGGTTGTTCTTGCAGGAGTCCTGGGTTCGAATCCCAGCACCCACATGGCAGCTAACAACTGTCCGTAACTCCAGTCCCAGGGACTCTGACAGCCTCTTCTGACCTCCGCAGGCATTGCACGACATGGGTGCACTTACCTACATGCAGGCAATACACATAAAAAAATAATAAATAAAAAAATACATATTTTTAAAAAAGGTAGACAAACAGAAGAAAGCAGCCAGTATCAGCCTCTGGCCTCCCACACACTAACATTTGCACACATACTTATAAACATTCACACATGCATATATCACATACACACATAGAGAGAGAGACAGAGAGAGACAGACAGACATTGGGAAGGAAAATTTGAAAAAACAGAGGTCTCTTAAAATATCAGTAATAGTGTATTTGTGTGTATATACATGTGTTAGGTTCTTTTGTTTTCTTAGTGTATGTTAGAAGTAATACTGTTACTTTTGTTTTAGGCTGCTGCCAATCTGGAAAACCTAGGAAATGCATTGGATGTCATGGAACCACAGAATGCTCAACTTTTTTATAAGATTACAATGGCCTTCAGCAGAACCGTAAGAGTGCCTACTAGTACCAGAATTGTTACCTGTAATAGAGAGTTTGCAGTTAGCCACACAGATTGAAGCACTGAGGAACATATGGCCCAGGGTGAAGCCGATATGTATCAAATATGTTGTATGTTCCTAAGAAAGGTGGTTCTGAGGAGATACTTGCTATCCCTTAACACACAGCCTTCAGGGATACTTCATGAGGAAGGCTCCTAAGCCTTTGAAGACTGAATGCCTTCCAGGCAAAGGAAATCAGTGCAAGATTTATGACTAAGATTGTTCTTTCCTTTCGTTTTCTATTATAAACCTATTTGGAAAAGATATGTTTAAGTGAATAATGCAGTACATGACTCCTGGTATGTAATAAACTTTCCTGATGCATTATCTAGATAATAGAAAACCTTTTGATTTTTATTCATGTTCTCTCCACCCTGTGAAGTACAAGCAATATATACATTTAGAGGGAAAAAAGGTCCTTTATTCTCAGTCAAAGTTAAACTTCTAGTGTAACATTATTTTGTCTTTTCAGTGTGGACGTAATCAACTCATTCTTGAAAAGGTTCAAAATTTCCTAGAAAAAGCTTTTAGTTTAACCCCCCAGCAACCAGAAATTGCTACAGAGCTTGGATATCAAATGATTTTCCAGGGAAAAGTTAAAGAGGCATGGAAGTGGTATAAGACGGCCATGACGCTGAATGAGACCAGTATCTCTGCAGTAACTGGTATGACAGTGCTCCTGTTCCATTCCTGTTTCCAAGGAATGACCGCTCTAAGGATCTGCCACTAAAGCAGAAAATGTCTATATTCATATTTAAAAAATAAACTGTTCTTCACACTCCATAACAAAAATGTCATGTATCTCTAAAAATAAAATTTTTACTGCACAAATACTACCTTCAGAAAATAGATTTGTATTGTTGCTTCTAAAATTATGAATTCTGCAGTAAGTAAATGATTTTCCATAGTCTAAGATTACCTGTTTTCTTTGGGTTATATTAGTTGTTTCTTAATCTAAGAGAGATTATGATGGAAGAAAATGTTATGTTACAGTTGCTTATATTAGCTTGAATTCTATTATTTTTGCCTTATTTCAGGACTTATCCGGTGCCAGTTAATAGAAGGGCAATTGCAAGATGCAGATCAGCATCTAGAATTCTTTAGTGAATTTCAACAGTCCATGGGAAAATCTGCGGTACAGTATTTTATCAGACGGTAGATCACAGTTACAATGAATAAAACATGAAATTCTTAAGTCAGTGTTCTACTTTAGCTCTAAATGATTAATGTGCACTAGCTTTAATGTGTAATTGCATTTGTTAATTTACTTCCATACAAGTAGACTTCAAACATTTTTCTCAATGTCTTAAAATTCCATTCCACTGATATTGAGGTTTTAAATAATTTCATACAAGTAATACTTTATATACATTAAAAATCTAAGTAGAAAAAAATGACTTTATAGTCAAATGGAATAACCTGTGAAAACTGCTTTTTTTGTTTAGGAATTAATGTATTTACGTGCAGTTCTTGCTGCAAAAAAAAATAATCGACAAGAAGAAATTATAAATTTGTTAAATGATGTCGTGGAAACTCATTTTTCACACTTAGAAGATTTACCACTTGGGGTACAGTATTTTGAGAAGCTCAATCCTGATTTCTTATTAGAAGTTATTACAGAATATCTGAATTTCTGTCCAGTTCAGGTAAGTAATTCTGGGACTTATTTTCAGGGATACATCTGTATGTCTATGCTCTATGTTTTATAAAAAAATGCTGCCGGCGTGGTAGCGCACACCTTTAATCCCAGCACTTGGGAGGCAGAGGCCGGCGGATCTCTGTGAGTTCAAGGCCAGCCTGGTCTACATAGTGAGTTCCAGGACAGCTGGAGCTACAGGGAGACCCTGTCTCAAAAAGACCAGAAAAAATAAAATTTGTTAGACAATATCTATAACCATGATAGTATTTATAATTATGTTGTTTGAAATCACTTTAATTCAAAGTGTTTATGGGAATGACTGCTACCAGATAATGAAAATATTGATTTGAAAATACTGTTTTACAATTTCTTAAATCTGCTAAATATTTGAATCTGGTCACTGAAACCACCATCAAGTGCCATCTAACCTGTGGGTGAATTCAAAAATGAAATTATTTTCTAAAACTATGATTAAATTGCATTTCCTGTGTTAATCAAACTCTGTCATGAGTTTAACAAGGGTCATTTCCTGGTCACCCCTCTGCTCCTTGGAATGACACAAAGCAAGACTAGCTATTTAGCATATCAAAGAATCATTTCTTATTCATAAAATAAATCTTGAAAATTGATTGGTTTTCATATTCCCCGAAAAATTTCCAGATTTTCAAACTTATTTTTGTATCATTGAGTATTGAACCCACTGCCTTGCAGATGCTATGCAAGCATTCTGTTATGCCCATAATTTATTTGATGTGTGTGTGTATGTTGTGTGTTGTGTGCCTGTTCATGTGTTCATGTGTGACTGCAAATGTGCAAGCCAAGGTTTATCAGGTGTCTGCCTCTGCCGCTCTGTACCTTATCTATTAAGGGTATTTGACTGAACCTGGAGTTCACCAAATGGTTAGAGTGGCTGACCAGTAAGCCTTAGGGCTCCTCCTGTCTCCATCTGCCCCCCAGTGCTGGTGCCACCACGCCTGACTTTTTATGTGGTCCTGGGAATCCCCTGAGAACTTGAGTCCTCATGTTTGCATAGCATGCATCTTACATGATCTATCTCTTCATCTGACTTAGTTTTTGTGACACAGTTTTGAGACCCCTACTTGTGAACATTGAATGTATCTCTTTATTTTGTCTTTGCCTATCATTAAGCTTCAGAATCTAATTGAATCCAAGTATGGATTTGAACCTGCAACACTTAAAGTAGACACTTTTCCTCCTTGTTTTGAATGTCCATCTGTGGTTGTTCTGTATGTATGTATCAATGGTTAACAAACATCCATGATCTGGGGGTGACCGCCTGTGAGGAAGAGATGAGGAATCACAGATGAGGATATCACAAGGGCCCTGAGGACAGGCAAGCTATAGCCTTCAGCTTACTTCCTCTGGCTTCAGTCTTAAGTGCTGTGTAGAGTACTCTTGGGCAGCCCCAGAGACTTGTCTCCTAGGTGATCCTAGACCCTGTCAAATACACAGTATTAACCATCACAAGGTTTTTAAAGAGTTTACTTTGTGTCTATGTAAAGAAATATAAAATTCTGACTTTTAAGCTATATAAAGACCCTTAATCCTATAAAAGAAGTAACACTAAATGGGAAACTTCTGTAGAAAAGTGCTGTGGAAATTTGAAGAATTTGGAAGTAAGCCAGTCGTATTTTGAATATCTTCTTGAGCACACATCTTCTATGTATGCCTCTGCATAAAGCAGGATGTGGCACTCGGCACTTACAGTGGCTCATTACAGGAGGGATGTTCTGTAAGAGAATACAGTCAAGCTTCGAGTCAGTACATCAGGTAAAGAGGAGAGGGATGATCATCCTTCAGGTGTAGGGAGCAGCATCAGTGAGGCAGTGCAGGGGAAGGGCCTTTTGTTTCTTAAGTTCTGATATTCCCGTTCTAAGTCATTAGATAAAAGGCATACTGGGTAAATGGAAATCACAAGAATAAGAAAGCTATTCATTAAAAAGTTTTAAAATAAAGGACCTTTGAGGACCTACAACATGTAGGGAATGTGAAGGCATGAGGTGTTTAGTGTTGTATGTTGGGTATCCCTCTTCTGATTTCTACTAGAGAAGAACAGAATGTAAATTCTTTGGAAAACTTGTCAGGTGTGGTTCTGCACACCTGTAATCCTAGCACTTGGGGGATAGAAGCAGAAGGATCAGGCGTTCATTTTCCTCAGCCACCTAGCAAGTTCCAGTTCCAGGTCAGCCTAGATCACATGACACCATATCAAGAAACCTAAAGAAAAAACAGTAGCCAAACAAATAACACAGCCAAACTGATTTTACAGTTCTGTGGGAGTAGTGAAAGTAATTAAGTAAATCACAACGTAGGTCTAGAATTTAAATGATCATTGCCTTGTTTCTGTGGATTCAACCAAGAAACTTTCAATTGATTTCCTCCCCTCCCCCTTTTACTTATTTTTCCTTTGAGCAGATGTTTCTTTGACAAAAGTTTTGAACAGATAAGCTCTTTCATGCTAACAGAATATTGACTATATAATTTCATTTAATTGAAGAAAGCCCATCATTTTTATAGTTTGTTCATAGATACCAAGGAGATAATTTAGAGTTAGAGCATTTGTATAGCAAAGATGATATTAAGTCAAGATAATAGGAGAAATTTTGGAAAAATACATAGTTTTTCTAGTCACAGTAAAATTAGTGCATGTTTAAGTTTGACTGAATACTGTTATAAACTTACAAAAATCATCTTCTGATTTGTTTTGTTTAGCCTGCAAGTCCTGGGCAGCCTCTTTCTGTAGTTCTTAGACACTGTACCTCTATCCTGGAGACTATAATAAGAACTGTACCGGGTCTTCTGCAAGCTGTCTTTTTAATGGCAAAAATAAAGTATTTGTCAGGTAATGTATATACCTAAACAACATAAAATAGCTTTGGATTCAGAGTCTGGTGTTGGGAATGACAGATATGAATAGGTTATGTACTCTATTACCATACGCATAAAATACAGATTTTTTGTGTGTGAAAATAAGTGATTTTTAAGTAAATCAAATAAAAATCTAAATCTACTACTGTTCTTAGATAACCCCTACCCATGTTCATACAAGCAACTCTCATTAAGTCGGTAGGTCAAAAAAAAAAGGAAAGAAGATGGAAGATGAGAGTAGGGGGATCAGTTGGGAAGAAAGCAGGAGTTGGAGCGGATAAAGCAGGATTAAAGGGTGTGTGTATGTATGAAAGTGTCGACAGTGTTTTTAGATATTGCTAGAATCTTTTGTGCTTGTGGACATTGTTTGGAAAATATAGCTGTATCTTTAAAAATAAATCATCAAATGTATTAGGGAGTGGTAATAAGAAATTCTAGTCTTTGAACTTCCAATCTTTGATTCATAGCAGTTGAGTTACTGGTCAAACAAATGTAGTGCTTGCCACATTTCAGATCCTTATGACATGTTAGTTTTTGAATGTCAGTTTTAAGAGTTTAAAAAATGTTATGTGATCTCAAAAGCTTGTTTAATCTCTAAAATAGTCATGTCTAAATGTTAGTGTTCTTGCTAATTAGCTGGCCCAAATGACTTCTGACACCAACTAATTGGACAAGTGCACAGTCTTCTATAAGAAGGCCTGAACTTCAGAGTCCAGCATAAACTGGAAATTCCCAGCCCCTCCTGCATTTCTGACTAGTTAAGCACAAACTTTTGCTTCCTTTCAAGCATCTCAAGTTTAGTAACATACTGAATAGACTCACAGAACTCAGGAAATCACTAGTTATGTCATTGCAGTTTTGTTATAGCAACACGTTACTAATGTGAACCAACAAAAGGAAGCAGTATGTGGGGCAAGGTCTGGATGAATCCCAGATGCAAAGTTTCTGCTGCCTTCTCCCTGTGGAGTCAGGACCATTCCTCCCTGACATGTCAAATATGACACTTGTCAGGTAGTCCCAACTAGGGAAACTCACCGTAATGTCCAAAACCTTTGTTGGCATTTTATTATGTAACCTTATATAAAATCAGTGGCATGTGTTTGAAGTCATCATTACATCACACACTCTCTCTCTGCCTTCTCCTGGTGGATACCATGTGGCCTGACTTAAAATTCTCAACCTTTTAGTTACATGGTTGGCCTTCCTCACATGACCATCTCCTAGCCTGAATCATACACTTGGATAGACTGTTAGCTACTTTGCCAATGGCAGGGGTATTCTTATTAATAGGTGAAGTTACAAAATTTAGCGGTTATCTCCCAGAAACCCAAGACAGACATTTGCAAGGCATTTTATTACACAGGACCTGACAGTGACAGAGGTGCGGAACAGAATACCTTGTTTTTCCCTCCTAAGAGATTGGACCACTCTACAACAAGAATGTGATGTTGATTTTTTGGCTGCATGATTTCTTCTCCATCAGTGGTGACACATTCGCACTAGTATTCAGTGGCCTTCTTGTATTAACCTGTCATGTTCTTCCCCTGACCCTTAAAGGAAGCCCAAGTCTGATCGTGCTCATTAACACAGCCCTCCTTTCCTTTAGTTTCTTATTTGTAAAGCAATTATTTTTTGTATATTCTCCTTAATCATCTCTTCTGAGTAGTAATCTTTCTCCTTCTCCAGTTATCACTTGACCACCTAAATAATGAGACTCTTCAAGCATTAAAATTTATTCAAGAATAAAATAAAACAAGCATTGCAGTGCAGATGTTCGTGCTTTAGTGCAGTAAAGGGCATATCGGAAACCTCTAGAGGCAAAAAAGAATGCACATTACTTGTTCTGAAACAAGCAGAACATTGCTTATAGGGGCATACTGCAGCAGTTGGCAGCTATTAGTGAAGACATTGCATGTCACAAAGGTTCTTGTACATCTGGCTAGCTATCTTGTGACTTAGGTAGCAAGGTGCAATCTGTTGGTATCTCTTGCAGAGTAGCTGTTATGAGTCCAAATCACGTATGAGAACCCGTCAGAGAGTCTGTAGTAGTTCACACCATCAGCACAACACCTGGAGGCTTTCCTTACCTCTCACCTCTATTATGATTACTATATATTTGAGGAGGAGGTTAGAAATTGACATAACCAACTTCATTTCGATTCTGACAGTTTTGATACACTGAAATTTGTTATGCTTAGACTTTTGAGGGGTTTTTTTTTTGTCTGCATAATTCTAAGTGTTAAATCCCATTACAATATAGTCTCCAAAGTTATTGATTTTGTTGATGATTCATTGCCAAACTTTGACACTGTGTTCAGTAAGTTATGCTATCTCTGACAGTTGTTTGTCCATTAATACTCTATCCCTGGTTGGGGGTGGGGCATCTGTTTTGTTGGGTTTCTGTGAATAGACTGAGCTCCTAGGAACAATGAAACTCTGTCAGCCCTATGTTTTCTGTTCTAACACCAGGTACGGTTGAGATATAATTGAACAGAAAATGGTTTAGGATTCTTCTTCCCCTGTTCTAGCAGGTTGAGTGGGAAGTAGGTTGAGTGGGAAGCAGGCCTTGTTATACTTACTTAAAGCCAGTTTTGGGGAATGCTCCATGCAGATCTGCATGAGTTACATCTCAAGGAAAGTCTAGTTCCTAGAGTCAGTGTTCCTAGAGTCTGTTCGAATGCTGCTCTGAAGAGCCTCTTTCTACCTCATTTTCCAGCCCAAGATCAACTTCCCAATTCTTACCACATTAAACATAGCCACTGCTTTTTGCTTTAAGATTCACAGATAAATAAAAGATGTTTTCCAAAACATTTGGTATTTAAGGTGGTATTTGAAAGCATTTTGAGCCTATAACACATACTTGATAGTCTCTGGAACGTATCCTCATCTCTTTTTTTCTATTTTACATAAAGTAATATAGTTGATTACTAGACTGTGTCCTCTTTGTTAGTGTGAATGACCCTACAGAGTTCTAGCTCTGTATATAAATGTGTAAGTCTTCCAACCTATTTTAATGGAGCTATAAATAAAACATATTTTAGAAGGAACATAAAGGTACATGCCTAGGCCTGTCAGTAACACTAGTGATTGACCATCATCCTTTTTGTGTTCTCCGGTTTGCTCATTGGGATCAAGTGTTGTCCTGACTTACAGATGTGTTCTTCTGGTAGACTAGAAAGAAGCTAGCAAGTGCAGTAGGAATGAAGGCCTGGCCTTCCAATCAGAGGGCTTTAAACAGTGGAACTTCTTGTCATCTGAGTCCTCTCTCAGGCCTCCACCTCTGATCCTCTGAAGCATAACAGGAGTTGTTTCCCTTCCTAGGTGACAATGAAGCAGCATACAGTAACCTGCAGCACTGCCTGGAGCACAGTCCCTCCTACTCTGATGCTCACCTCCTCATGGCTCAGGTCTATCTGTCTCAAGAAAAAGTCAAATTGTGTTCTCAGTCTCTTGAACTTTGTCTGAGCTATAATTTTAATGTAAGTATTCCAGTTTAAAGTGCTTAAGACATAGCATTCTTCTTAAACTTTTAGTGAGTATTACAGTCACTTATTTTATGCATTAGTTTATAATGCTATGCTAATACATATTTAGATGGAATTAATTTTGAACTCACAAGCAGTAGGTTAAAAAAATGAGGATACTCATATGACCTTTTCCCCTTATCTCTAAAAATCTAATTAACTGGGCAAGGTAGTACATGCTTGTTATCCTGGATACTTGGGAGACTTGAGCCCCAGACCCGTGGGGTAGCCTAGACAACATGAAGAAACTGCATCACAGAACAAAACACCCCTATACCCCCACATATCCCAATTCAGCAGACAAAAAGAATCTGTATGAATTTGGTAATGAAAGCTATGAGGCCAGTTTTTGACTTTGCATGTATTTCTGAGCCTCAGTTTTCTTTTCCATAAAATTTATAGAATAGTACTTTTGCTATCATGAGAATTAACCGTGGTGACAACATGCACACACACTAATTTTAAACCATGGTGAATTATGTGAAATACTTGTATGGGTAAGGTTTTTAAATGTTATTATCCATTTCCTTCTTGAATATTGTTGGTTTTTTTCTTTTACTTTTTTGAATCCAGGTCTCTCTTTGTAGCCCAGGCTGCCCACAAACTCATGGTGATCCTCCTGCCTCAGCTTCCCAAATACTAAGATTACAGGTAGGAATTAGCACCGCTGCCCTCCTCCTTGAACTTCGGTTCTCTATAACATCTTTTTAAATTCATTGTCAAAGAACACAGACATTTTGGAAATAATAATAGTGGTTTAGATTATAAACACACTTCTTTCTCTCAGGAAATCTTGGGTATTTTCCCTGAAGATTAGGAGCAGTCCTGCATTCAGCTGCTTCCTGAGCCTTAAGACTCATGGGTGAAAAGGCACCGTAAACTTGCTTCACTTCAGTTCTCATGGAAAAACCCTTAAATGCACCAGAATATTCAAGTTCTAAGCAAGATTGCCGAAACTGTGCCTGCCCTTTCTTAGGACTGTAGGTCTCAAGTTTGGCAGTGTAGCATAACCCTGTGCGGCTCCCACACCCTGTGAGTTAGTCCCTGGGAGAAAAGTAAGGCCTGAGTGTCCAAGCCAGTTCCCCACGTGCACAGGCTGTCTCTCCTCTGTAGGTGGCTTCCACATCATCCCACTCCAGCAGCCTTTGGCTCCTCATAGTTTATTCTTTCTGATGTCTTCTTTATACTGTTTATAGCCGAAATAAAATGGAAGCTTCTTCACTACATGGTTATGAGAGTATCAAATGGTAAGGCCATTGTTTTATGAACATGCCTTGACATTTTTAGTATTAAACATTAAAAGTACGGAAAAGAAAGGAAAAACCTTTTTCTAGAAATACGAAGGTAAATCATGATTAGAGGAAACTTGCATAAAGGCATTCCTTTACTGAAATTCAAAGAATTTCTTTGGATGTTTTTACTCACCTTCTAGACTGCCTTTGCATTTTCTCTTCTGACATTGTAAAAAACATTTGAGCAAGCATCCTCTGACATCCTGCAGGATGCTGGGTAGGGGTAGTTTTCCTGAATGTGAAATTTAATATGATTAGGAAGTAAGAGAACAGAAACAGACTTTGCATATGATCACAATGACCTGTCCTCAAGAATCTTCTATCTTAATGTTTGGCAGATTGTATATTATGTGTTCCTATTGTGTGCATTCCAAGGAAGTGCCATGAAATGTTTTTCAGGTGAGACAGTATCCTTTATATCATTTGATAAAAGCACAGTCACAAAAGAAAATGGGAGAAAGAGCAGAAGCAATTAAAACTCTACATATGGCAATGAATTTACCAGGCATGAGAAGAATCAAAGCCCCCTCAAAATCAAAGCACAGAACGGAGGTTGATATAAGCCATCGCTTATCAGTCTTTCTTGAGTTGGTGGAGGTTCACCGCTTAAATGGAGAACAGGTAAGTTGGTTCAATCTGAGCTTTGTTATGAGTGTGTGTGTGTGCTCTAATTTCCTGATATGTTATTTGTAATATGTAGTACATGAATGCACATTTCTATGTATATAATCTATATACATATGTCATATATCACATATATATGTAGAAAATAAAAACGCTAAGTTTATTCCCTTGACTAAGTGGCAAGGTTTAGAAACTACTTTTTCCATACTTTGCAGTAAAATACGTCCTTTCTGTAAGGCTCTAGGAGTTAAACATAATTTCCTCCTGTAATAATATATGGCTACCTTGGCTGTTGTGGAAGATTGTGACTGATATAATACAGCTATAGTCATGTGAATTTCTAAAAGGGTTAAAATGCTTGTGCACAAGTGGGTATGCACACGCACACATGTACACACATTTTCATGCACATATAAATTCTACTGAATAAAATGAAAGTACTAACCTGAAATTCTAATAACAGAAGAAATACTTGATGTTTTCATAAAGGTTATCAAAATATATACATACTTTAAAAAAATGAGCTAAGCATAGTAGTGCATATAATCCTAGCACTTGCGAGGTGTCGACAGGAAGATCAGGAGGTTAAGACCTGCCTCAGCTACATAGCTAGCTTTAAACCAGCCTGGGTTTCTTGAGTCCCTGTCCAAAAAAATAAAATATAGATGAACAGCTAAGATGTACTTTTTTTCCACATTTATAAAGTGAGAAAATTTCATCTCTGAAGTTCATAGTCTTAAAAAGCATTTTAGATTCATTGACGTACACATTTGAAAGTTAGGTAAAAATAATCTTCTGAGGAGTAAACAGAAATGTTCTGGTAGCAAGTAGAAAGGAATCTTCCATTTACTGACAGACTGGTGTATGCACTGGGTGACAGGGCTATATCTTGCTGAGGAGATAGCAACAGATGTGGCCAAGAAAGCATGCTGTCTAAGCCTTAATCCTGTTTCTATTATTTGTTGACCTTTTAGCTCTAAATCCCAATTTCTTCCTGCAGGGTGCAGATAATAGTAACTGCCTGGAGGGAGGGAGGTGTTACTGGAATGAAATGGGCCAATAGGATGCTATGTGCAAGGAAAGGATTCAAGCTATAGTGACAGTGACTGTGTTGTCTTGGTTGTAAAAGCACCCAATTAGCAAATATTTACAATCTCAACTGGTCTCTTTATATTTGGGAACTTTTTATAGAATCTATTGATTTACTTTCTAAATACCATAATTCTAGCAGCATCAATATTCATTCTATTTTGGTAGCAGATTATCCCTTCTAGTGTAAACCTGTTGACTATTTTGAACACATATTTAATTTTATCTTTACAGCATGAGGCAGCAAAAGTTCTACAAGATGCTATCCATGAGTTTTCTGGAACATGTGAAGAGTTGCGTGTCACTATTGCTAACGCAGACCTGGCTCTGGCTCAAGGAGATACAGAGTGTGCTTTAAGTATGCTTCGAAATGTCACCCCCGAACAAGCTTATTTTACAGAAGCCAAAGAAAAAATGGCAGACATTTATCTGAAGCATAGAAAAGAGAAAATGTTATATATCACGTGTTACAGGTAAATAGTTGTTTTCGTGGCATATTTCTCCACCAAGTGAATCCTCAGATCTACTTTCTGTCTTCTTTTACTCATTTCCCAGGTTCTTTACAGATCTTTTCTTTGTTGTGAACTTGCTTCCTTCTCCTCCCATGACCACTCTAAGCAAGGTGTTTAGTCTCCCTACAACAGAACTATGGTGACTTCACATTGTGGCCCCCCAGATTTCTCAAGTTTCCTTATCAAGTTTTCTTTTTAGTTTTCTTCTGACTCTTAGGTTTGGGAAAAGAAAGAGCAAGAGTTACATGTACTCTGATAATTTAAGAGTGTTGTATGACACTGTTCCAGGGAATAGACAGGCATATTAGTACTCAATGTATTTATTGTAGTGAAAGAAAGTTAAAAGTTAATATGCTCCAAACTTTTAAAGTACGAATCAAATATTTTCCTTGATGAAAATGCAGAAGCTTTAAAAGTTTTGCCACATGACTCCAGTGAATGAACTTGCAATGAGGGACATCTGGGTATACAAACTTGACTTGATAGGCCTTGACATATATGACAGAATGCATGAAATCTGATGGGAGGATATGGGGAGAGCAGAATAGGGAAGGGATATAAAGATGATTAAGATGTTTTATATGAAATTCACAAAAATTCAATAAAAAATATATGTTAAAAAAAGTTTTGCCACACGGGCACCCTTAGGAGTTAATTGGTACACGTACGCATACATGTTGCTCTTCTTCCCCCAACAGAAAGTAATCGCAAGCACACTCCACGGGACTGAGAATGGGTAAAATGTTGATAAGCTCAGTGAGTCTTTGCTTATCTATGTTATATAAAGACCTAAACTGAAAAGTTACTCAGCTTCTTTTTAAGTATGGAGTGATTCAGAGAAACCTTCTGTTGATGAAGGAAGTAAAGTTCCTGGGTCATACTTTCTATAATACTACAAGAGATCATCCCTCTTACCACTAATGATCTGAATATTTACAGATACATTTGGAGCCAGTATGGTGGCTCCTGTAAATCCTAGCACTCAGGTCTGATGCAAGAGGATTGCCGTTAATTTGAGGCCAGCCTGCACTATGGTAAGAGGTTTAGGCCAGTTAGACTATATAGCAAGACTGTCTCAAAAAAAAAAAAAAAGATTTGGTTTCTTTCCATTGCATTATGATATAATAATGAAAGGCATGGATATTAGATCAGGCCATTTTGACACATTAGCTATAGACATATTCTTATCATTTGTAAAATTAGAATAATTATCTTTCTTGTAGTTCTTTTAGACCAATTAGATAGTATATGTTTAAAACTTAGCAATGAGCCATGGTTCAAGCCTGCAGTCCCACCCAACACTTGGGAAGCTGAAGCAGGAGGATTCAAGTCTAGCATGAACTACACAGTGAAATCATATCGCAAAACAAGCTGAGCAGCACAGTATGATTCAGATGACCATTATTTTCACCTTTGGTAGTCTACATGGTGCAAGTAAATAAGCAACAAATACTGAAGTCGAAGATTCTATATTCTTAAGGTAATTCATCATATAACTTAAACCATGAAGATTAGAGCTCAAGTGTATGGAATAACAATGGAATTTATTCCCCATTAACAAGTATTTCTCGACAGTGAGAATCTATACATTTATTCTCTCCTTTACTCTATTACATGCATTCAGAAAGTGGAAAGATTCAATGGAAAACATATTTGATGTAGCGTAGAGTCTGAATGTGACTGTGAATGTTTCGTTTTTAACAAGATTACATACGGTGTTGGCTGTATAGAAGGTACTCTGTAGGCCACTGTATAATTGAGGTAAATCAACCTCCAGTTCATCTTATTGATTTGCAAAAGGATACTTGTATTCAGTATACTAAATAGACATGGTCAATTTCCAGAGAAATTTCTGAAAGAATGCCCAGCCCTCGATCCTTCCTTCTCCTTGGTGATGCATACATGAACATTCAAGAGGTAAAATTTCTGATTCTACCAAACTTAGATTAAAAAAACAAAACAAAACAGAATTTGACTTTTTCATTATGTTTAATATTTGGGGTCTAATTATTGCAAAACTAGATGAGCCTCCTCAATTTTTTAAAAAATTGAGACTTGCTCTAGTTTGGTTTCTGTTGCTGTGATAAAACACTGACCAAACCCAACTTGGAGAGAAAAGGGTTTATTTCAGCTTACAACTCCCAGATCTCAATACATCATTGAGGGGAAGTCAGGACAGGAACTGGAGGCAGGAACTGAAGCAAAGACCGTGGAGCAATGTCGCTTACTGGCTTACTGCTGGCTTGCTCGGCTACTTTTCTTATACAACCCAGGGCCACGTGTGGAGAGGTGGCACCACAGCAGTTATGGAAATGCCTAGAAATGTGCCCATGGGTCAGTCTGATGGAAGAAATTCCTCCATTGAGGTTTCCGTTCCCCAGATGACTGTAGTTTGCGTCAAGTTGATTTAAAGAAAAACTAAACAGCTTAAGTCTCAGTTCAGCACTCTCATTTTTTGCAACTGAGATGATGATAGAAGTATGTCAGGAGTTTCCTTTAAACCAAGAAGAGAGATGAACAGAAATCTACTGACTCTTAAAATGACTGCGAAGAATGAAAAGCTTATATAAATCAGAGCCTGGTCCTTGTACGGTGATTCCAGTAATGAATACTGTCATACTCTCACCCACCTGAATTGTTACTTTCATGTACCTCAATTACGTGTGTTAGGAAAACAAAGTATTCCAACTGTAGAGCTTAATTACAGAACTGTTACTGTTTAGTGGATCTGCTTAAGCTGTTTTTTAATGTCTCTTGTTTGTGTCTGACAATATTAGCCTGAAGAAGCCATAGTGGCCTATGAACAAGCGTTAAATCAGAACCCAAAAGATGGAACACTGGCAAGTAAAATTGGGAAAGCACTTGTCAAAACTCACAATTACTCAAAGGTAAGTACTTCATAGTTTCAAATATGGGTGTATCAGGTTGATACAGACCAGCCATAGAGAAGTCCTCCACAGCCACCTGCTGCATCTTTGGAGACTGTAAGTTCCACGTTTGTGTTCATGATCTGATACTTGTGTCAGGCTTTCTCAGCATCTCACATTCATCTGTGCGTCTTTTGTGGAGATTGATTTCAGCCCAGAGTTACTGTAGGCTTCTTACATCTCAATCTTTGCAACCACATAATGGTCATAAAGTCACTAGTAGTATACCTCTGTTGGTATAACATGTAGCAGAATCTTTTTTCCTTTCTGCTATACCAGTTTTGGTAAGCTGTGTACTTTGAGAGGTTTGTTTTTGTTTCTAGTTTGGATAACAGGTTTTCCTCTAACATATTTATTCCTGCACTGTTCCTGAAGGTTGTTAAGTCTATGTATACCAGCTAGCAAAGCAGATGCATTCAGTAAGACTTACTGACATCCAGAATAAATAGCAAAATATTTTCATGAAGCAATGTTCATTAGTCTTTTCTTATAAGAAAATGTTAGTTGTTTATGGTATAATGTGTGATTCTCTAAGAAAAATGATGTAGTCTACTGACAGCACAGATATGTACCTGAAATTCTGTATAGTTTAACTGCAGCTATGGATATACCTTGTATCTGTGATATGTAAAATCCATGTACCTTTTTATGTCCTAACTGAAATGGATTTTGTTTAGGCAATCACTTATTATGAAGCTGCTATGAAAAGTAGACAACAGAATTGCCTTTGCTATGACCTGGCTGAGCTCTTACTAAAATTGAAATTATATGAGAAGGCAGAGAAAGTTCTTCAGCATTCTCTAGCTCATGAACCTGGTATGAAAGATTTTGATTTGGGGGAAAAATATTTATTTTATGATAAATAGGCCTATGTATTTTTATATGTATGAGTGTTTTGCTTGCATGAGGTATGGGCATCAGATCCCCTGGAACAGTAGTTACAGATGTGGCTGATGGGAACCGAACCCAGGTCTCTGCAAGACCAGGCAGTGCTCTTAACTACTGAGCCATCTCTACAGGCCGTCTTTTTTAATTTTTTACATTTATTTATTTTGTTTGTATATGATGTGTAATAATATATGCAGGCATATACATGCCATGACATGCATGTGGAGGTCAGAGGATATCTTCAAGAATTGTGTTCTCTCTTTGCACCATATGGGTCCTGAGGATCCAGCTCAAGTCATCAGACTTGGCAGCAAGCATCTTTACCCACCTAGCCATCTCCCTGGCCCCCAACACTCACATGTGTTTCTTAAGGGTAGGATGCCACTTGTTATCCTAAATCCTTTTTTTAAAATTTAGCTATGCTTAAGTAACTGATTAAATTCTTTTAAACTTAATATTCATTGTTTCTCAAAATCTTTTTTTAAAAGTCCAGTTTTTAAAAAGTAGAAAAACATAGGCACTTATGTAAGATGATATTTTTCCCTTTACTTTCCATTCTTAGTAAATGAATTGTCAGCTCTCATGGAGGATGGGCGTTCCCAAGTCCTTCTAGCAAAGGTTTACTCTAAAATGGAAAGACCTGGTGATGCCATCACTGCATTACAGCAGGTATGCGTGTTTGTGAATATGAGCAGAGGGTTGGGAGACTGGGGACAAAATTAATTCTCTTGACCAATCAGTCACAGAAGATATATCAAAGCAAATAGTGATTGCAAGCCTATGGATTGGCACTTTTTCACTTTTGTTACAAAAGTTAAGGAAGCTTAGTGTTTCAGTTTTTTTCCACAGCTCACAAATCTCTCTATGGAAAGTACTATGGCACTGTTAAAATCAGTGTTTCCCTTCTCTACTTACTTAGAGCTTTAATTTTTCTTAATATTTTGTGGTTTTCAGAGTAGAAGTTTTTACACATTTCCTTAATTGTTTTCTTAGATAGTTGATAGTTTTCAAAATTTTTTTTCAATTTCTGATTTCTAACAATTTTTTATAAGCAAGTAAATTTCTCTAATTATCAAGATGATTATGTATCCTTTCTCCTATTTGTTTTGGTCTGTTAGTGTTATATTTTAAGCTAATTGTCAAATGCTAGTCAACCCTTATATTTCTGAAATGGCCATTTCTAAATGATTTTTGCCATATTTTAAAATGCTTCCTAACATTTTGTTCAGAATTCCTACATACATGTTGATGAGAGAGAAAGGTCTATGAGAATACTATTTTTTTAAATATTTGGAACAGTTCAATTTTGAAACCACTGGAGTACTTCTTTAATGGAAATTTTCAATTGATTCAGCAACTTTAACAGAATTCAGACTGATCATGTTCATATTTCCTCTTTTGTCAATTTGGATATTAATACTTTTAAAATATTTGTTTATTTCATTAAATTATCAAATACATTTTATATAAATTTATTATCATCTTTGAATGCCTACACATGCTATAAAAATGTATCTTTTGTAGTCTTGATATTTTAAATTGTACTTGCCTTCTTAATAATCATGCCAGAGGTTTATTGTTATTAATATTATCTGTGAGTCAGCTTTTTCTTCCCTGACTTCACTGAATGTTGGCTTTTTACCTCATTAGTTTATTCTGCTTTGTTTGGGCTTGTTTGGTTCAGTGATCGTTTTCCAACTTCTTACAATAGTGTGCTGTGTGATAGATTTTTTAGCTTTTGTTCTTTTCTTACTCATTTCAACTGGTAAATTTCCATATGCACTGTTTTAGCTACATCTTTCAAGTTTATTATTATCTTGTTCATAACATCTCATTTCCATTTTGATCACTTTGATCCACAATTTTTTAAAACTGTAGTGTTCAGTTTCTAGGCAGTTATGATTTTCTTGTTACCTTTTGATAGTGATTTCTAGATCAATTTCATGGTAGTCAAAGACACACTTTGAATGGCTCAATCCTTTGAGCTATATTTAATTTTGCTTTGTTTCCTGCTTGATAATTTTGCAGCTGTTTCCATGTGCATTTGATAAAAAGCGTGTTTCAGTGCAGTCAAGGCTGTCAGTTGGCTTGTTCACCTTTTCTCTGCTCTCGGGGTTTGCTGGTTACTATCTGCTTGTTTGTGGTCTGCATGTATAACCTACTAGAGTAAAATGCCAGAATCCTTTGTGTAGTTGTAGGGTTCTCTCTCTCTTTTTTTTCCCTATGTATCTTTTCTCTATTTACTTATTAGAAATCTATTTGATGATCGAGATTTAGAATTGTGAGCTCTTCCTAGAGAATTAGCACTTTTATAATAATAAAATCACTTTCCTTATTCCTGCTGTTGTCTCACTTGAAATCTTGTGTGATATTAACAAGGGTACACTAACTTTTTTTTGTTTTCTTACTGTGTGGGGAGGCATATGCCATGGCTCACATGTGGAGATCAGAAGATAACTGACCTTTCACCTTGATACTGACCTTTCACCTTGATGTGGGTTCCAGGGATCAAACTCAGGTTGCCAGACTTGCACAGCAAGCACCTTTACCTGCTGAGCCATCTCTCAGGCCCTACTCTGCCTTTCTTTGGGCTAATGTTTCCATGCTATAGATTTTACTTTCCATCTTTTGTTTCTTTATATATTGAAGATCTGTCCATCTGTAATTAATATCTTATATCTACTTTGACAATTTTAACCTATTCATTAGAATATTTAATTTCAGGGGCTAGAAAGATAGATCAGTCGTTAAGGAGCACTAACTGCTCTTACAGAGGACCTGGGTTTAGTTCCCTGCACCCACATAGCTGGTAACAGCTGTTCGTACCTGTAGTTCCAGGGTTCGTACCTCCAGTTCCAATGCCCCCTTCTGACCTTCATGGACTTTGCACAATTTGGGGGCCCTTACATGCAGGCAAGCAATACACATACACATAAAATAGAATATTTAAAAAAGAATATTTAATGTGTTGCCAGACCTGGTAGCACCAGCCTGTATTGCAGCCGTTTGGGGAAATGAAGAAGGGAAAAAATGCAAGTTCAAGACCAACCTGGCAGACTTACTAAGATATTCTCTCAAAGTTAAAAAAAAAAAAAAAAGTGGGGATCATGGCACTGTGTGAATAGTCCAGTCCCGGTACAGTTTTTAAGTGAATGTTTATTTTACTAACATTCAACATAATTATGGATTAAATTGGAACTTGTAACTGCCATCTTGCAATTTATTTTCTTTTTGAACTTGCAGAATTTCATGTTCTTACCTTTTCTAGTTAATTCATGTCCTCTCTCGGTCTGTCGTTTGTCTGTTTACTGCTTTGTCCATGTTATCCCGATAATAATGCACATTCTTCGCCTTCCCCGTCTCTCATTTTTGCCTTTTCCTTTATTTTCAGCCATTTCATACTGGCTGCTTGAAACTTCATAGTTAACATTGCTGCATGGTTTATTTCCCTCTGTTGTCAAACACTGAGTTTTAAAGGATTCTTTGTGGTCTTCGGCCATTATGAAATATATACACATTTTAGGAAAAGTGCTTTCTAGCACCTACACATTTATTTACTATTTTATATGGCTTATTTCATATTCTACCCATCTTTCACTTCTCCTTCTCATCCATAAGTCTTTATTTTATTTTGTCTCATGTCTGTGTATGTGTGCCTGCTACCTGCTTATCTGTATGTGTGCCACATGCATTCAGTGCCCATAGGGATCAGAAGAGGGTGTTGGATTCCCTGGAACTGAAGTTATAGGCAATTGTGAGTTGCCTAATATGGGTTCTGGGAACTGAATGCTGGTGCTCTGCCAGAGCAGCAAATGTTCTTAACCATTGAGTTAGGTCTCTATCCCCTGATCCCTAAGAATTCAAATATCCAGAAGATATCCCTGCGTAGAGCTGTCACAAGAAATAAAAATTGTGCAAAATCTATCATTGTGGGTGTGCATTTCATTTGCTTGTATGGCCCCAAATCATCTAGCAGTGAGAACACAGAGGTATCACAAAGAATGCTAGCTAGCTCTGTACTCAGGTCCCTGTGATGATATGTAATGCGGTTATCTTACTTTATATCCAGTTTTTCTGCAGCCAAGAAGTCTCAAAATGTTGCTGCTGACTGGCAGGGGTGACTGAATGTATCATGGCAGAGCTCTTCTGAAATACCAGTTTGTGACTAGCAAATGCCATTCTCCATGACCTAAAATCTGCTTCTGAAAGTATGCAGAATCTAGTGATTAGAAAAGAATTAGTAAGGGCACTTTGCTGTCCAAGCCTAACCTACCTGAGCATGGTCCCCAGAACCCACATGACGGAAGGAAAGAATCAATTCCCCACACATGCTCAAACCCCCATGGGCACATACACAATAAAATAAATGAATAAATAATAAGGGCTGGAGAGATAGGCCACATACACAATAAAATAAAGAGATAGATGATGATAGATGATAGATAGATAGATAGATAGATAGATAGATAGATAGATAGATAGATAGATAGATAGATAGATAGGTAGATGGGGGTTGGATGGATGGCCCAGCTGTTAAGAGCACTAGCTGCTCTTGCAGCGTACCCGTGTTCAGTTCCTAGCACTCATGTGGCAGCTAACAGCTTTCAGTCAAAATTCTAGTTCTAGAGGATCTGATGCTTTCTTCTAACCTTTGTGGGCATTGCACGCATGTAGTACACTTACATACATGCAGGCAAGATACTATACACATAGAATAAAAATAAGCAAATGTTTATTTGCTAATAAATGTTAATAATTTCTTTTAGGAAATGGAACCAAGACTCAGCCCTTTATAACACTCGAGGACCTGTGTCTATTACATTAGGCCAGAGAAACATCTGAGAGCATCTCTTTACTAATTTCTTCTCTGGATGCTGACAGACTTCAATAGCTCTTAGTTCCTATCCTTTCCTTCACTGATACTTCCTGCTTCCTTTATGAACTGATCATTTATTCCTGAAGTTTAACTATCAGAGTTCACAGAACTAGCAGTGTCTCGTTTAACTTTATTTATTTATTTATTTATTTATTTATTTATTTGCTCTTTTTGAGACAGGGAATCCCCACAGCCCCAGCTGGCCTGGAACTCACTACATAGACAACAGATTCAGATTACTGATTTTTTTTTTTCAGTTTCTAGTTCTGGATGTGCAAGTAAAATGAATGATGTTTAAACACTACTAATAATTACTTACCTTATTAATACTTTCTACTTTCTGATGAAGACTTCCATTGCTTTTATGTGATTTGTTCTTTCTCTATCTGTGAGTTCAATAGACTGTGAGCTAAGCAAATTGGTCATGTGTTATATGAGTACTTTTATTTTCCAAATGAGGAAAGAACTCACCGATGATATTTGCCCAAAATTGTGTAGTTGGTTTCTAGAAGAGCTTGAAGCAGGACTGGTGAAGCCTCAGCACAACTGGGGATGCTTTCTAGCATGCCCTGTTACTTTGCCCCTTCTGAGTGATGCTGTGTGTCTAGGAAAATGTATTATCAAATGATTTGATTGTAATCTTTAGCTAACAATTGTGTGTGGGTGTGTATTTTAATAGTCATATCCAAAATTTTTGTTTTGATATGAATGAAGAGCTTGGACTATTACATTTCTGAGATAGCCATCTAAGTTTATGATTTCATTAAAATACATAATTGTGAACAATATTAAT